CACATACATACACACACACATACACACATACATACATACATACATACATACATACATACATACATACATACATACACACAGACATACATACATACATACATACATACATACATACATACATATACAAATACACCTAGGTGTATGCAGCTATATATATATGTGTATATACATACACGCGCAGATCTGTATGCTGGTTTATTCTGAATACATAGGGAAAGAGTGTGTATGCAAATAATGTTAGAAAGCAGAACTTGAAACAGCAAACTGCAAAAAACGAGGTTCTCGAAGCTTGCGGTTCAGGGTTTCAACTCCAGTATCTTTGCAGTGAGGGTCTTGGGGAGTACAGAATGAGCTTTATACAAGGGTGTACCGCTCTGTACAAAGGTTGTAGTGGACAAAAACTAAAGTCTTTGTGCATGTGGCAAACCATTTTTGTTTAGAGTTCGAAGCATGCCGGTTCGCATCTCACAGTATGGCAGATTTTCTGTCTGGGGAACAGATTTTGGGATTACATGCGGATTGTACAGAAATACATGACGCTGTACCGAACCCGTAAATGTTGCCATGCTGTGAACTACGTCCATAGCAGCACACCGCTCGTCACCCAGGCACGCGTTTGTGTGAGAATGTACCCCAGGAGCACAACCAGTGTCCCCTCTATGTCTCACTTGAATTGCATCTTCACAGTGGAACTGGCAGGTGCAGTTTCATGGACGTTTAGGGCGTAGAACATTTCATCACACGTGTGGAGTTTCTGGAGGCTTAAGCATCGAGGAATGGCTTTTTGCAGTAGCCTCTGTACAACCCCTTATAGTTTCAATTCCTTTTCCAGTCCTACATTCTCTACAAATTCAAGAAACAAAAGACCTGAAGCGCTGTCTAGGTAATGCACGCTCATGCTTAAGCAGCTCTATTACAAAACACGAGTCCTACTGAAAGTAATACTTCAGATATGAGATATTACTTGGTTATAACTTGGAATTATCTCCGTACCTAAGCTCATATATGTACTGGCAAAGGAAAAGCAACTTTACATAAGGGGAACTGAGCTTCTAGGACAAGTCATGGTCTTAGTATACCCAGTTCACCCTGAGCCCTGAATCTTATCCTCCGAAATGTGAGGTCGGGGTGCTACTTTTGGGCTGACAAGCGCAAGCTCTTCCTGTCCCTGTCTGCTCTGACCAAGAGGCCCGAAACCTTCGGCCGGGCGGGGAGCATGAGAGCGCACCTGACCAACATCAGCTCTCTGTTTTCCACGGTTGCCATGAAAGCAACACATGGGTAGTTCTCAAAATTAGGGTCCCATTTTAGTACCCCTAAAAATAAGCTGCCGCAATATAGTCTATAGCCCACAGGGGCTTTTAATTTTGGGAACCTCCCCCATGAAGCTTCTAACATACAATGGTACTTGCCATGTCCTCGAAAAACCCTCGACCCCTGCATAATTCCACGCAGCCTCTGGATTAGGAGATGCAGTTATAGAATACAAGGGCCGCACTGGACTTTAACATCAGCGTTTGGGGTACCCTGAAAAATCGTGCAAAACTCGAAAGCTGCGAAGGAAATCGGGGGGTGCCTGGTGTGGATTGGGTATGACGTGTTCTGCGAAACACCCACACCAAGAGAGGGTTCCCAAGATTCGGGGTACCTTCTTGCATTCTGTGTTTTTGTCCGCTGTTGTCACAACTGCCCGAACACACTCTCGTGCGACATGTATGGGAATATACAGGGTCTTAGGGGGTTTGGGGTTGGCAATGATTCGCGAGGAGCCAAAGCGAAAAGGACATGAAACACGAAATGGAAACTTGGATTATACTACGCGCGGTGTGTAGGAAAAAATATTTGGCCAAGCGTTCCATGTATTGTCTATCTATCTGTATATATATATATATCTATATGTACATGTACACGTGTATATATGTATATGGGACTTCGTCTACACTACTGTTTCCAATTTGAGAAAATCATATAGGGACCCGCATTACAATGAGAACCTCACTAGAGGGACCCATGCTATAAATCCTCCAGGGAAAACCTAGTCTACCACAGACCTCTACACCCTATTCACTAAACTCTCCACATGAAGGTGCCGCGTTAGGCGATGGCCATGCGTGCAGCTCACCAATCCTAAGCCTAAAGCGCGACACGTCAAATCCTAACCTACGTGTCTCTTGCATCTGCCCCGTCCTCTCACTAGCGCAATGCCTTTCAATGAGGCCTTCCGTTCAGGACTCTGGTGGGCCACTGCGATCTGATCATGTTACAGTGCCATGTCATTCCCTTTGGCATGTGGATTTCAAGCCTTCCAAGGTTGCAGTGCGGAGATGTATTCCCTGGAACAAGCATCGCTCGAGCATCTACTGGCGCTTAGTGCGTCAATGCTCATCCTGCTGTAGCGGCGAAGCTTGCTTGGCTTGTCGCTGCCTTGAAATGTTTCGAGTGCAGCCACGTGATCCCGCGTCTGAGGCTGTTGATGAGTTTGCCCATTGCATCTGCAACTGTGCACCCTCTTTTTTGGTATGAGCACGGGCAGCCCGCTCGGTCATGAAGAAAGTTGCGAAGGTCGCAGGGGCAAGGGGCACCCTGTGGCGTTTAGACTCTGCTGCGGCAGTTGGCTCTTGTCTCACGGGTGTCACGGCAACTTGCGTTTTCCTCAAATGATCTTACCCTGGCCAAAGAAGACACGTCGGTGTCTGCAACCAACCAATCAAACAACCAACCAACCTAAGCCCGAAATCCTAGCACTCCTGTCACCACAAGGCTGTGTTTCTTTGAGTAGGGACACAAATGTCATCCGCCATATGCCACAACCCTTATAGGGACTCCCAAGAAGCGGCCTGCAATGTCTGAAGCACCTATACACTGATTTAAAAAAACCCTAGAACCGGTGTGAATCCTGTATGGCCACAAATACCCCATAATCCCATCGGGACCCCAACCCTAAACCCTAAACCCACCACAACTTAGCGGCCTTGAGACTGCGTTGCCGGGCTCCCAGGTCTGTGGCAACCTGTCAATCATAAGAACACACGGGAACATGGGTTGCCCCTTCAGTGACAAGGCTTCAACTAATAAGATTCAACGTCTCTAACTTCAGTGATTCAGTAATATGGCCTAATTCCACAGGTTTGAAAAGGCTCTAACTTCAGCAGTAAATCTTAAACTTACAAAGTACTTGAAAACATCGATTTAAATAGTCTCGAACTTCAGGAATGAGGCTTCAACTAACAGATTGCAAAAACCTCAATATCAGTAATACGGTCTATTTGAAGGTATCTTAATGGCCTCTAGAGGGTGTGGCATGCCTGAGGGCAGGGCGTCCTATGGGGGTAGTAATGATTCTTCCCATGAGTTCAACAACTTGTGGCGTGAGTTAGAGAGGGAAGGGTTTGGGTTTAGAGCTTGGAGTTTTAGATATGCTTTTAAAAGCAAATTTTCAAAAACAGATTTTTGTCTAAACCAAATTTGGGATTTTTGCTTTAAAAAAAAGGAACACTCCATCTTAGGGTTTGAAGCTTAGGCTTAGGATCTGTAGACTGGGGTTTGGAGTCTGTAGGATTTCTGGCATGGGTTGCCAAAATTAAGGGGTTCTAGGGTTTAGGGTGGGGTTTGGGTGTCCAGGGTGAGGTGTTTCAAATTGAGGGTGTTCGGTTGAGGGCTTAGGGTGAGAGAGCCAAAAAAAAGCGGAATGGTAGGTTCTATTCTTCTATGTGAGGACTGGGCGGAGAATTTCATGTGTTATTTTCAGGCTTTTGCGTTCTTCCGCGCTAGATTTATACCCTGTGCCACCATGTGGGTGCTCACGCAATGTAAACCCCAAACCCTAAATCCCACACCTAAACCCTGAAACTATGATCCTGAAACCCCCCCAAACCCAAAAGCCCAAACTGCAGAACCCCGAAAGCCTGTGAGGAGTGTGGCCTCGCACGTAGATATGGTGCTTACATTTCTATATACAGAACTACTACTACAATCTACGCGGTGGATCTGCAAATACTGTACATGGCTGAAGGTTACACAAAAGTGAAGGAAACCACAAGGCTTGTCTGCTTTTGGGTTTAGGCTTTGGGGGCCTGACACCCTTCCCTACAAGCAGGACAAACTGCAGGCCTTTAATTCTGCCAGTTCTGACATTTTCTAAACCTATTGCACGCTCCATGTAGCCCCTGGGAAGCTATGAGGTCGCACAGGATATCTGTGCAGTCTTGTAAACTTCAGCTAGAACAACTTGCCAGGAATACCCCGAACGACCCCAACCCTAAACCCTAACTCACTATATATCTTACTTTCTGCATTTTTAACAACCAAAAGACTGTGGGCCGCGCCGTAGCCCAGCTCGCCGCCATCTCCGCGAAGAAGTCGCAGCGTATCCGGGCCTGAAGGGCAGTTCCCGTCTTCTTTCTTATCTTGGTACACTTCCGGTCTCGGCTCAGGATGTAGGGTCTAGGTTTTGGCTTGTGGGGTTGAGGGCTTAGGATTATGGACTCCTATCTTTGAAGTTTAAAGGTTTCGGGCCTGGGTGAGTTTTAGTTCAAGGCTAAGTGTTTGGGGTTGCCTCAAAGTCGAAGGGGGGGAGAGATGCCCAAAACCCAAAACCCCTAAACCACCAAAAATTTAAACCCTAAACCCCAAAACCCTAAACCCCTAAAACCCTAAACCCTAAACCCCAAACCCCTAAACCCCTAAGCCCCTAAAACCTCACACTCAGGATCCCCATACTTTGTGGTCGGTAAGGTTTAAGCTGCGTAGAAACAGGCAGCTCGGCTCCCCAAGACTTTTGGGGATAGAACTGAGTAATGTAGACCCCTGATTAATATTTCAGGGTTTAGGGTCTAGTAATTAGGGTAATACAGGGGTAATATAGTAATATAAGGGGGATATAAGGATTATATGGGGATAATGGACAAGAAAATGGAAACTACTATTTAGGGTTTAGGGTTTGTAGACCCATGATTAACAAACCCTCTCCTTTTAAAACCTTATTCTGAGGATCCCTATTATAATCCCTACTAAGGGGAGGGGCTTTATTAATCAGGGGTCTATATTAAAACGCGCTAGCAAGTTGCCAAGTTTGATCCAAAGTACTTCAACGGTGCGCCTGGAAAACCCTTCGGGATTTCTCTTCAGGCTCTTCAGGCTTTACGGACGGTTGCTGCTAAAGTAGCTACATAACGACAATGATTTGCATAACTTAGGAGGACCCCCTACCCTGTAATAGTGGTATAATAGGAATATAATAGGACCCTAACAGAATCCTGATTCTCCCTCATAGCCACTATTACAGGGTGGGGGGTCCTCCTAATGCATAACCTTTGCGAAGCTCTTAGGCCGATTTTCCACAGTTGTGGGGTTTGCGCTCCCGACCATGCACAAAACGAACCTAAGCTCTGAACCTCAAACCCTACTCCGGAAACTGTCACCCCTAGGCTTTAGACACCCCATCCTGCCCCATACTGATATTGGAAAACTTGTAAACAGTCCCTTACGAATCTCACAATTGCTTAAAACATATGCCCGATAAACCCTAAGCCTTGAACCTATAAACCCTGAACTATAGACCCTAAACAGCATAAACCCTAAACCCTATAGACCCTCTATACTAAGCCCAAACCACTCGCTGGGCTCCCGAACCAGGGCCGCACCTGGCCGTGAAACGAGGCTTCGGGCCTTCAAAGGCACAGGTCTCCGGGTCAAGGGTTTTATGGTTTAGACTTGTAGGGTTTGGGGGATTTGCGGGCAGGATGTTGAGGGGTTGGGGTTCAGGATTTCTAGGGCGGTTAGGGCGTACTAACTGAAGGTAATGGGCTAGGGGTTGAGGAGTCCAGGCGATTTAAGGGTGCAAGGCTACGGATCTTGGGCTTACCCAAAGGCTTCTATGTAGTTTGTCTTTGGGTCTGTTGTTTTTCTGGTCAGGGAACATGGTAGCTACGATGTTGTAAATGGCTTGATAGCCCATCCTGCAAAAGGCCCCCATTGAGATAAATTTTGAATACTGCCCCCACCCAGTAAACAGTCTGCAATAGATCAGGTGTATATGTATGTAAAAAAACTACCCCAGGACTACCCCCGCCCAAAACCTATATGATGATTGAATCTCCCTGTCTCCAGTATTTCATTGGATAAAACTCAAACCCCAAGCCTCGTTTTCTTCTACATTCACCACCCCCCAAGCCGACATTTCTAATTTGTTTACTCCTTCAAGAAAACTACAGGTTTTCTATATTTACTCAGTACTCCTTGCAAAGATCCATCATAAGCTTCACGTGCGTAAACACTCCGATGGAATTGTATTGCAGCCTTTGGGTAGGGCTTGAAACTTCCCCAGTTGTGCGACGTTATGTTGTGATCTTTTCAGTGCTGGAGGTGTCAGTAAGACGGCAAGAAGCCTCCACAGACAAATGCACAAGAGCTGCTGCAGGAGCATCTTGCACCATCTCAGGCTCATCGTCCGACGCAGCTTGAACAGGACTGATGATGCTGCAATTCATGGCCTGTCTTGTGAAACTCTGACATCCCGGGTGGTCTGCAAATCTGTGACCTGAAGGGCTCCAGCTTGGCGTTTCCGGCAGACAACCCAAGGAGAGCTGCCTGTGAGATGCTTCAAGCATAACTGGCAGCCCAGGCCCCACTCTACACTGGGATCTTCATCTCCAATCAGCCAGGCAAAGCACTTTGTGCATGTGCAACGGTGCTTCCACATGCTTCAACCAGTTGCATCGCAGGCATGAAAAGACGACAGGTACTTTTTGGCAGCCAGCTTGAGGGCGTTAACCTTAATTAGCAATGCCACCTTTCTTGCTACTGTTTTCACAGAGAAGCCAAACCCTAAACCCCGTAGGCATGTCTACAACGCCAAGCTCACTTCCGTGCAACATTTGATCCACATCCAGCGGCAACCCAGTGGAGCAGCTGGGTCCCTCAAAATCCGAGCCCTAGACCTTAAATCCTAAACCCTAAATTCATCACTCCTTTTACCTTATTAATGGGCTTCTAGGACCCTAGTGAGGTGCAGTAAGGGGCCTTTGAGGTCTAACAGCCCACCTTGGCTGACTCCCTCTGAGGCCCTGACCGGCACCAAGCCATGAACCTAAACATCCATAAGCCTTACACCCTAAACCCTACATCCTCAACCCTAAACCTTAAGCCCTAAACCCCTAAATCCTCAACCCTAATCCCTAAATCCTCAACCCCAAATCCTCAACCCTCAACCCTAAACCCTAGACCCTAAACCCTAAATACTAAACCCCAGACCGAGGCAGCCCATTTCACCAGCCTCGGCCTTGATCTCCAGCAGCTGCGCCAGAACCTGAAAAGAATCTGGGTTTAGGGTTCAGGGTTATAGGGTCTATAGAGTTTTAGGGTTTAGGGGGTCATTTAGTGTTTAGGGTTTAGGGGTTTAGGGTTTAGGGTTCTAGGGTCTATAGGGTTTTGGGTTTAGGGGGTTGGGGGCTCAGGGTTTAGGAGTTCTTTGGGGTTTGGGGCTTAGGCTTCGGGGGTTGGAGCTTCGGGTTTCGGGCTTAGGGGTCAAGATTTAGGGTTCGATCAGGTTTGGGATTTAAAGCTCTTTTAGGTACTGAGGGGCTACGATAAGGATCATTTTTTTAGATTTTAACGATTCATCAAAGTGACCGCAGAATCTAAAAAGGGTCCTAGGCTTATCTACAGGGATGTATCAGGTTTCGGGTTGACGGCTGAGATCGGACCCCCCCACCCTGTAACAATCAGAAAATGGTTTCTGAAAATTGGCTGGTTATACGGACCTAAGCAAGTGTAGTCATTACGACTTCAGGAAAGGAGTTTATCAGTATAGGGGTCAGCATGAAGGAAACTATATGTTTTCAGATTTTAAGAGATTCTATTTGTGCCAAGAGCATGATATTACTAGACTTGAAACTTTGGTGAACAGTTACAGGTTGGGCGGACAAATACTACTCATGCCAGAAGGCCCCCCCAAACGTCGGGAGCTGTAGGTGAGTTGAATATTGAGGTCTCCAATATGTTCCTCCTTCTTGACCCGGATATGAGGACTCGTAAATTACTACTAGTAGTAGTACTAGCCAGTAGTACTAGTGGTTCTGCGTGTTGTCAGTTGTCAGGGGTGACTGGACCTCAAGAGGGCTTTAAAAAAATGGCCCCAAACCAGTATACAAAAGGCCGCAAAGCCCATTCGTTTTTCGGGGTCCAGATAATCCAGGGAGCCACAAACATGAAGTCGGGAACTCGCTACCCTGGTGTGTAAGCTTCAGAAAACCATCACATGGCTATGTCTTACATAGGAACCTCCTTGTGAGGACCAAACTGCCCACAAATTCTGGGAACTCGCTCAGTTGCGGACGTCTGTGTCGATGGCCGCCATCTTGGCGTGGGCCTCACAACCCAGGCCACGAGGCCAAGTGAGTGGAAACTAGGTTTTGGGGTTTAGGGCTTAGGGCTGGGGGTCTGGTACTTGAAGCTGTATAAGATGATACCATTTTTGAAAGATCGCATGTTGTAGACCCAAAATTAAGATAGAGTATTACTCACGATTGGGACTCTAGTACCCTCGAAAACAAAACGAAACGAACCGAGACCTTCAACGCCAAATCCTCAAACCTTTATTCCCTAAACAACCCTAAACCCTAAACCGAGAACCAACTGTACGGACTTGCGTCATTTTAATTACTACTGAGAGGCATCTTTAGCAGGCCCCACACGATAAGTCCTAGACCCTATAAGCCCTGCTGCCGCCCCAACCCTCCCTCTTGCCCACTGAACCCTAAGCCCTAAACCCTAACCGCGATGCCCTAAGTAGCAAACCTAGCCTGGAGACCTTTAAAAGGCTCTAAGCCCTAAATAGCAAGTCTAAGCCTGGGGACCCTAAAAAGGATTTAGGGGCTAGGGCTTACAGGGACCTAAGGTGTGAGGTTTAGCTGTCGCCCCCTGAAACGGAGACCCCTACCCTGCGTATACTCAACAATAATCCCAAGGCACCCTAAAAACCCTGAACCCTAAACCCTGCATTTCCAAACCCTACACCCTAAACCTTAAAGTCTGAACCCTAAATCCTACACCCTAAGCTCTGAATCCTAAACTCTTCGCCCAAAACCCTAAGCCAACGCCAACAGCAGCGGACCCAAAATTCAATTACAGTAGAATAGGGCTTGGCGGTATATGATACCAGAGTTCTTTGGAGACTACAAGCTACGGGATCCTTAAGGGGGCCCCTTATATGGGGGACCCAGAATTAAGCCTCCCTAAGACCTCCCTAAAACTCTAAGGTCCCAAAAGGTCTCCTGCTATGGGGCCCCCTTACATGTGGCCCAGAACAAGGCATGACCTTGCTGCCTTACAGTACCACAATTCTGCAAGGTAATTATCTAAGGTCAAAAGTATGGGCACCTAATAAGGACTTCTACGGGGATTCTAGGGACCCTCATGGGTACATATCATATAGGGTATATAGTAGGTATATAAGGATCCCAGGGTTAAGGGTCCATACTAGGGGCCCATGGTTTCAACCCTGGAACTTAGGGTCATGCAGGCCTCTCCTTTATGGGTTCTATGCTGTAACCCCAAACCCTACATCCTAAAAACGCCTTAAACCCATAAAGCCCCATCCCTGAACCCTTGAGACAAACCCCTAGCCCTAAATACCTTACACCTGCACCCCGAAGCCCTAAAACTCTACACCCTAAAACCCTAAAACCCTAAACCCTAAAACCCTAAAACCCTAGACCCTAAAACCCTAAAACCCTAAAGCCCTAAACCCTGAAAGGCCTCCTCAAGAGTCTCCTGCAGCGTTTCTGTGCGAGCTGCCGTACGGCTGGCAGCCTTGGACTTTGGAGATTCGGAGGCTTCAAAGGTTTAACAACATAAGCTCTAAACCTAAAAGTAGGGTTTCGGGTCTAGGGTCTAGGGTTTAGGGTTTCAGGGAGCCGGCAGAAGCCACATTTAAGAAAAACTATCGGGGTTACAGGAGCATGAAGGGGGCTTAGCTTTTTCCATGTTAAGGAGGAGTTGGGGTTTAGAATGCTTAAGCCTCCAATCTCATGGCCGAAAAACCGGTACATTTTCTCGGCGCTTCCAATTTCTTTCCGAAAGAAGGGCGGGAATCGCAAATTCCTCCTGCCCCAAACCCTAAGCAATCGTATAAACTGTGTTGAGGTTTGAGATAAGGGTTCGCAAGGTTTGGGGTTCCGGGCCCCGAAATATCTATTGGCAGAGGCTGACTTGCACAACACTTACTATGGAATATGACTACCGCCTACCTTACACTCTACACCCTTCAACCCTGAACCCTTACATGCCTCCTGAATCCCTAAACCCATCCAAAAAAGCAACGCAAGGAGGGCTGTTTGCTTAGAATGGGTGAGGTATGCTTTCAAATACTTGTATCCGGATCATGGGATGAAACTTAGAATTTTCAAGTCTTCTACATTACGTAATCCTTCTAAACCGCCCATGTCCATTCGATTCTCCACCTTGTTTTGGCCCCTACCTTGGAGATCCATTGGAGCAGAGTAGACTTGAAAGAGCCAAGTCACTGCGAAGAAGCTGCTAAAGGTCTGCCTCGGGGGAGGCATGACTTGGGTCTATGGTTTAGGGTTAGGGATTTAAGGTTTAGGGGTTAGGGTTGGGTACAGTACTGGCCCCACCTAGTAATCGCTTAGAATCCAGGTAAAAAGCTA